AGACAGTGAAGAAAGCTTCTCTTGCAACACTTGAAGTACCTGAATTTAAAGAAATTGCAATTTTTGTTAAGGTTACAGTTCACTAGATAACTGAAATAACTGATCTTGAAAGCTTGTAACTAGGGATGTTAAATTACATGTAATCAGCTAATTGAGTAGTAGATGGAATTTCCATAGACTACTCAATTAGTTTATTGGGGGAAACTGCAGTCTCAGCAGGGTTAGCTCCTGGCTTTGGGAGCTAACCCCACTGTGGCTCTGCCTTCTAAACATATTAAGAGCCTGGAGGCTCTTAATATACTTAAAAACCGAGCCGCGAATCAGCTGATTCATCAGCTTGCTGGCTCTTGCCTCAACACACACTGTGCATGCACCACTGCCTATGTCCCCATCAGGGCCACCCACAGCCAGCTGGTGTCTGTATTAAGGATGTTAAATTGCACTTAGAAATTATATTAACTATACTATTAGTTGGTGGGATCACTCTGCAGAGCGGCAGCAAGGGTAGCCACCTGTGCTGTGGTTCTGCATTTTAAATGCAGCCTGGCTCTTACTACATTTAAAAGGCAGAGGCACAGCACCCTGGACCAGCTTGAGTCCCTGATCACTCCATGGTCCCTGCTGGCTTCTGTCTTTAAAATGTAGCATGAGCACCTCGAGGCTCTTGCTAAATTTCAAAGGCTGAAGTGCTGGGGTGGAACTGGTGTGAATGGGGACTGTTTCAGACCCCACATGCAGTTTCCCTGCTTTGCCTCTGCCTTCCCTGCCCCCCGACCCCCGCAGAGAGACGGTGCTTTCTCCTTCTCAGTTGGGGGCCACGTCAGTGAGGGGTCTTTTTTTTTTTTTTTGCTTCTCACTTATGTGCAGCCCCCAACTGATTTTTCTGAGAGTCAGCGGTCCCTGGCCTAAAAAAGGTTTCCTATCCCTGATCTAAAGTTTTGGTGCCACTGAAACTGGTGGTCATACAGTAAGGACTTCCACTCACTCACCCCATCTGAATAGAAGTTTACAGGTCTGCTCCCGTTGTCTACTCACTCCTGCAATGATTATATTTTAATCCCTTTTTAATGACTCATTGGATCTTCTGGCAGTTGCTCCATTAATGGTAAGAACACTAAACAATTTTCATTATATAGTAACTGTTCTCCTTTAGTCTAAACAAAGACTAACATTCTCTTGATCTTTATTAATGAGTCCTTATCTAGTTAGAGCAAACTGATACTATTTGTGTTATTTAACAAGTTAAACTTCATTTTAGATGACTGGCAACCTATTGGCAGATTAAAGGGTGAGACAAATATTTTTCATTTTGTATTGGAGATTTTAGAAAAGAAGTAAAATACTCATTACCTCTTTTGATACAAATTCCTCCAACAGATCAAGTTTACATTCAGACAGCAGCTTTGAAACAAGAGCAAAGGCCTACAAAACAGAAAAATACATGAGCAAACATACCATTAACTCAAGGTTAGCTGTTTTTCCAGAAATCAGAGAATCAGATTGGATATATAAAAAGACTCATTTGCTCATCCTGTTCCATCACATTGCTACTAGGGAAGGCCTGTTGTCTCTAGTATATTTTCTAGTGTCTTGTTACCTAGTTTGAGGCAATCCATCTAATGGGACCATGGCCACTTTGCTTACAAAATTACTCCAGACCAATTTTTTTTCCTGATGAGTTTCCTCCTCCCCCCCTCATTCTTAGTCGTTATGTCCTTGCACCATCCTCTCTTTGTTGTATGCAGTCCCATTCCAGAGATACATAAAGGGTATGAATGCCTTCTCATTATTCACACTACTCATAAGTATTAACCTTTTACACATCACCAATACATAGTATAATTGCCCTACCTTCAAGTTAGACTACTTTATACTACCCTCTCCTAGAAGCAGATGAAAATGACATTTCTCACACTGTCTGTCTGTTTTGGCTCCAGAAAAGCAAAGCTAAACTAGCACATTTTACTCTTTGCTCTGAAAACAGCACAGTCTTACTACAGGTGACCCTCGCACTTACAACCTAATTGGTTCCTGGAGAACCGTTGTAAGTGAAGCCGTCGTAAGTGGAACCCTTATTTCCCATAGGCGCAATGATACAAATGGGGGTTCTGTTCCTGGTCTGCTTTGCCTCCTGGGAGTTGTAGTCCCCAGCTGTACCAGGTGGAAGTGGCATGGCGCGAGCTGACTGCATAGCTGGCTGTGGCTGTGCTAGGAGGAAGGAAAGGACCCTGTGCTGGAGAGCTGGCTGAGCAGCCGGTAGGTGTGCTGAGTGAAAGGGGAGGAAAGAAAGGACCCGTGCTGGAGAGCTGGCTGAGCAGTCAGCGAGTGTGCTGGGTGGGAAGGGGAGGTAGGAAAGGACCTGCGTTGGAGTGCTGGTGGAGCAGCCGTAGCCAGCTGGAAGAGGCGCCACACAAGCAGCTCCCGTAGCTGGCTGAGGGCTGTGCCGGGTGGAAGTAGCACCGCACAAGCCGCTCCCATAGCCGGCTGGAGGCTGTGCCAGGTGGAAGTGGTGCCACACGAGCAGCTCCCATAGCTAGCCTAGGGCAGAGCAGAGCGGTCATAAATGCGGGGGGTTGTAAGACGGGAGTCGCTTTTTTTCTCACTTCCTCCAGAAAAATAGCAAAGTCTTCGGCCATCTACCAAGAAAACCATCTTCCTACACATACATAACAGTTTGACTTTTCCAATACAACAGAACTGTCAATGTTTCGTGCTAATATCTGGGGGCTGAGTTGAACCTGGGACCTTTTAGAACATGAGTCTACCACACAGGCTAAAAACCAGATGACTAGTCTTTCTGTAAGTGGTCTCAGTGCCGATAGATGGGATAGTGAATCACACCCGGAAAGTCTGTAGGTTACATACTTCCCCTAGCTAAGGAAGGGCATCCCAAACTTCAGAGACTTCCCAGTTGAAAACCCAGATGAACCCCCTACTGGACTTTTAACTCATGTGGTAGAGCAGTGGTCCCCAACCTTTAGAGGCTCCCGGGCGCCTGGGGGCGGGGCCACTCACGCGCCGGGCGCCCGGGGGCAGGGCCGCGCGTCCTGGGGCACACCAGGGGCGGGGATGCCCTTGCACCCGGCGCCGGCATGTGCCCCAGGGCCGGGGCCGCCCAAGCGCCTTGTGCCGTGGGCCCGGGGCC